GTGGTGGTGGTGGTGGTGGTGGTGGTGGTGGTGGTGGCAGTGGTGGTGGTGAGTTGCCGCGAGTGAGTGAAACACCACCGTCATCATCGTCGTCGTCGTCGTCGTCGTCGCTGCTACCGTCAACGTGACTGTCGTCGTCGTCGTCGTCGTTGCCGCCGCCGCCGCCGCCGTCGTCGTCGCCGGTAGTGATAGTAGTGGTACCGGTGCCGTCGCCGGTGGTGTTCGTAGTAGTAATAGTAGTAGTAACAACGGTAGTGGGAGGCTGCCTGGAGTGAGAGAGGCACTATCGGGACGAGAGAGACGGAGAAAGAAGAAAGACGGGGACCACGAGGACGGCGACGAGGCATCATTATCGTCGTCGTCGTCGCTCGTTCGCCACCGTCCCCGCGGTGGCGAGATAATACCTGGTTTTCTCGCCGGGGAACGATCGCCGACTTGAATCTTAACACGTACATCGGGAGCACCGCATCGTCGGCCGCGTGCGTGAAAGAGAGAAAGAGAGCGAGACAGAGAGGAGCAGCAGCCGCAACGAAGGTCGCCGCCGGTCGGCGAGCAGCGCTCGCTGTCACTGCGAATCGCTCGTACACCCTCCTCTCTCCCTTCCGTCATCTTCGTCCCCTATCGTCCTGCCCTCTTGTCACCTCCTTTTCTTCTTCGTCCTTCTTCGCTGTCACTATCTCCTCCTCCGTCAAAGGAGGATTCCGCTGTTCTGAGCCATGGCGTGCTGCTTGTCGGAAGAGGCGAAGGAACAGAAACGCATCAACCAGGAAATCGAACGGCAATTGCGGAGAGACAAGCGGGATGCCAGACGGGAACTCAAGCTGCTCCTACTCGGTGAGTTTCATCGTTTCTCACAAAAAGGTGGCGGCGCCGGCCGGGAGCCGATAAAACGGCCGCCGGAGAGTGCTATAAGAGTCACTCGCTCTCATCCCTATCATTTTTTTTTTTCACCGAGGTAAAACGGGGACGGATCGCGTGCAGCAGGTTACTCCAAAAATAGCGAAAATTGTAAACCCGGCGTTGAGAGACGCACGGGAGTGATTGTTTGCAGGTTACTCGGCTTAAACTTCTGTGCCGTCGTCGTTTGCCGGGGAAGGTAAGCGAGTAATTTGCCACTCGACTTGCCTCCCCACTATCCGCAGCGTAAACCCGGCATTAGTCAGGAATATACGAAGCCGGTAAAAGCAAACCGAGTTGAGTGGTAAGTCGCTCGCTCGTTCGCTCGCTTTTCCTCCCTGGGAGGAAATTAATGAAGGACGATAACGCCACGTACGAACCCGGTAGGGAGATTAGTGTAGCGAGTAGCAAGAGTTGCCAACTCACTGTTATTTCGATCGAGGCAAATGTATAGGTGGTAGACGACCCCTTTCCTTCCTTTGTATGGAGATTTCTTTGTTTCGACACCCGCCGTTTTGAAAAGTGATTTCGGCGAATATTAAGTTAAGTTCTGTAAACGTAGATGACTTGGGACAGTGCAGGTAACTAGGGACCGCGTGTACTTTTGTTCAATTCAATCGTGGTGTGCATCTATGAGTCTCTAAAGAAAGTTTAAATTTTAAATTTTCTTTAATGATTCTCATGGATAGATATCGCTGAATTTAACAAAAGTATATGCTGTCCCAAGTTACCTGCACAAAAGAGAACATAGTGGACTCTTCATAGTTCTTGATTTCCTTCAGCATGATGATATCTTCTACATTGAAAACACGCCTCCATTGCATAATATATCCTCTGACCGAGAGAGTTTTGTTGAATGAATCTTCGCAAGTATAGTATTTTTTTTTACTAAAACCATCGATTTGGATCTTTTCTAGAACGTATGTGGATCACTTGTTATTATTATATTACTTTTTTGTGATTTTTTGAAATAAATAATACACTCTTATTAATGCTAAATTATTGTAATTTCAAAATCTGATGATCAAAAATGATACGGCCGCGGTTCTAATATTAATGTATGAGAAAATCTCGCGTTAATTATATAGAAAATTGAATCCCGGTGAAATGAGAATCAATTTTCGTGTAGTTTGTAATATGGCGAACAAAAGGTATCATTGACAGGGTTTAATAATGGATAGTTTTTGACCTGTGATGTATCAAAGGTAAACTTGTATTCATGTATAGAACACTTTTGATACATCATAGCTTAAAAACTATAATTGAACTTTTGTTTGCCACTTTGTAAGTTATATTTATACGAAAATTAACTCATTTCATCAAGATTCTATTTTCCATATAATTAATTAGTGCGGAATTCTTTTATAAAGTACTATATACAAGTACTATATATTTTAATGTATACAATACACACACACACACACACACACACTTATTCTTTTTATTATAAAAAGTACCATATATCCGCACACGTTCAACAAATCCCTCAAACGGCACAATTTCTTTTCAGATAGGTTCATCATACTGAAAGAGATCAAAATCCGTAAAGAGTCGTCCTCTTTTTGTTATGGATAATGGTTGGTTGCTGGTTTCGCATTCAAAGTCGATAGGGAGGAAAGTCAGGTAGCCATGGTTATGGAATAAGTGGCTGAATAACGTGACTACTTGATTTGCCTCTCTTTTCACTAGCCAAAGCTATACAAATATAAATCTGGTATTAGCGTTGCCATTATGAATAAAAATCTGCGCATATTAAGAGTCTTATTAGGTTCGGCAAAATCACGACATGTACTAAAGATTTTATTTTTCTTTCTGTGAGACGTATCTCACAGAAAGAAAAATAAAATCTTTACGTAGCTTGATTTGTTTGTTCATAAAATTTTTTATTGCAAATAGTTAAATTTTGAATATCGTATTGATTGTCTTTTTATTGTTTTTTTTTAAATATTATTATAATAATAGATATTAGTAATTAGATATTATATTTAAAAAATTTAACATGGGCGTTGATAAAATTTTTTTAGCAGTTGCGTGGTTAATTCTAATCATAATATAAACATAATATAAAAAAACATATTTTATCCCTTTTTAATTCTTTTTAATATATAAATTTTTAAATAGCAAACATTATATATTTTTGTACAGAGTTCGTTGATGCCTCGAAATTCCCAGTTTTCACAGAAAAAACGATTATACTAAAGTATTTAAAAATTTAGGTAGATGAAATTGAGGAAATTAGGGAATTGTTGGGGAAATCGAAATTGATCAGGGAAATCAAGAAAAAGTCAGAGATTTTTGCAGAATTTTCTAGAAAATTGAAATTCTTATGTTTAAAGACGTTTAATATACATATATCACATCTACGCACTTTTGGAATATTACCAATTTAACACATTTAAAAAAGTAAACAATTAGCGAAAATAACTAGTAGTTTTATTACATTACTATGTTAAATTGATCTCTCAACAAAATATTTAATAGTTTTAAATCGGAACGAAAATAAGCATTTCACAATATTGTTGAAATTTAGGTAAAATTATGAAATCCAAACAAAGAATTTGTGACAAAACCCTGATCAAAATAATTTATGTAGCAAACTCAAACATGATGAGCAATGCTGCAAAAAGTTTTAACTATTCTAGTAACCAATTTGACCGTCCTGTATAATTATTTTGATAGTCCAACAAAATTATTTTCAGCTCTATATTTAGTTAAACTTTCAAGATACCTTAACCGTTTTTTTTTCCGCATTTAAACAACAAAAAACAGTTTCGCACAAATTTTATCTCGTTTTCACTTCTGTATTTTTAGTGGAAATCTTGAGAAAAACGCAGTAGTGAAAAAATAAAAAATTGTGCGTCGACAGAATGGTTAATGTAAGCCGATAGTGATTTATGAAATTATCGAATGATGAAAATTCGTTCGACAGACATCGTAAGATCGCTTAAGCACAACTGTCAATTCTGTCGTCCGAGAGAATGACGATTATTAATTTTGTCATTGGCCGTCGCGAGATTACCCTGATTGACCCCTATGTACTCTCCTTTAGAAAGAGTCGCTCGCTCATTTCATTCATGCGCGCCTCTCGCGAGCGGCCGCGGTCGCGGCCGCATGCCGTCGACTCCGACGCCGACGTCGGCGCCGCCCGGGAGGCGACGTCCGCGCGTCACGTACGTTTTCTCGTCCTGTGCACGAGGTCGATCGGCGCGGCCGGCGTGCGCTTGACAGCTCTTTCTCGACCGGCCGCCGCGCTGCTCCGCAGCGATACCGCTGTCTATATACACGGTGTCCCCGAGTATTACCGCCGCCCCATCGCAGTCGATGTCTCCTGGATGAGAATTTCGTCGGACGCCACTTTTCGAGGCGGCAATTTCTTGATATTTAGCTCTAATGTTAAATCATTAAAATAGTAATTACATAAGAAACTTAAACATGATGAGCTATGTTGCAAAAAGTTTTGACACTAACAATCAGTTCCTATCCTATATATAATTATTTTAGTCCAACAATTCATTTATATGTTAAGTTAGCACCCCAACTATAGTACTCAGGAGTTCTGATTAGAGTTCCCACTTCCTTTTGACGAGACGAAGAGTTCCCTATAGTTAATAACAAGAGTTCCGCTCAATAAACATTTTTTTACATTTTTTAAAAATGGGGTGCTAACTTTTTATCGAATTTCGAGGTGGAATAGTTCTGAGCGACTTAATAGCTTCAATTTGCCTAGAGTTCCTGATATGTAAAAAAAATTTTCGAATATTAAAAAAAAAATTAAAAATTTTTGAAAAATTAATTTTTAGATACAATAGTTCTGATGATAATTTCTGCTTCTTTTTGACGATACGAAGAGTTCTCTATGATTTTTAATGACCTATGCGCTTAATAATCATTTTTTAATAATTTTTTAAAAATGGGGTGCTAACTTTTTAACGAAATTCAAGGTCGCATAGTTCTGATCAGCTTAACAGAAGTATTTTGTGAATACCTAGAGTTCTTGATACATAAAAAACATTTTTGAAGAACAATAAAGTTTAAAAAAAATAGTAGAAATCTTTGAAAATTTTTTTGAGAATACCGAGTAGTTCTGAGTAGCGTTTCTTATAGTTCTCGACGAGTTCTATCGAAAACTGTGAGGTGAAAAAGCGATTGGACCAACAGTTTGTAAGATACAGCGACATTTGTTAAATTTGTAAGATCATACAATTTTTAAATAAGTATATCTATAAAAAATTAGCACCCCATTTTTAAAAAATTATTAAAAAATTATTATTAAGCGCATATGTCATTAAAAATTATAGAGAACTCTTCGTATCGTCAAAAAGAAGCAGGAATTATCATTAGAACTATTGTATCTAAAAATTAATTTTTCAAAAATTTTTAATTTTTTTTTCATTCGAAAATTTTTTTTACATATCAGGAACTCTAGGCAATCGCAAATTGAAGCTATTAAGCCGCTCAGAACTATTCCACCTCGAAATTCGATAAAAAGTTAGCACCCCATTTTTAAAAAATGTAAAAAAAATGTTTATTGAGCGGAACTCTTGTTATTAACTATAGGGAACTCTTCGTCTCGTCAAAAGGAAGTGGGAACTCTAATCAGAACTCCTGAGTACTATAGTTGGGGTGCTAACTTAACATACTCCATTTATATCCATGTAGTCTAAAATCTATTACACACGATGCAGTTTTCCTGCGGTTTGTGCGGTGCAATTTTAATAATTTACTAAAAACACAAGTAATCCACGGAAAAAATATCCAGCGAGAAAAATACATTTCGTGTGCTACTGACTTAATTTTAATCTTTTTAATTTAAGTTATGGTGAATTCAGTTACTTACATTACACTGGATTAAAACACATTGGCTATTTTGTACTTATCTAAATATAATAGCATAATATAATCAACTTTGAATCAACGATTAATTAATATATGTATAT